AGACGCACCTACTAGTTAAAAGAATGCCGCGAGCGCGCTACACTGAAAAACACACTACAATATGAAAAATACAAAATGAAAAATACCAAACAATTTTGTTATTTAGTTGATCTAAAGGTTCAGCAGCCTTTGAATACATTTGTTCACTGTAAAAGGGAAATACTTAGCTATTATGTAAGATATGTAATTAGCTAATATGTAAGATATCTTAGATTTACATTAGACAAATACTACTTTATTTATTTATTTATTTATTTATTTATTTTATTTATTTATTTTAATTTATTTAAAAAAATAATTTTAAATGTATTTATTAATTTATTTTAAATTCATTTATTAAAAATATTTATTTATTTATTTATTTTAATATATTAAAAAATCATTTAAAATGTATTTATTAATTTATTTTTAAATTCATTTATTAAAAAATATGTATATACTTTCAATTATTTTAAATTTATTTACATTTAATTAATTAATAAATTTTAATTTATTAAAATCTATATTAATGAATTTTTATTGTATTTATTTATTTATTGTAATTAATTTTATTTTAAATTAATATATATATATATATATATATATATATTAATGTATTTATTTAAATTTAATTTAATTTTTTATTTATTGGCATTTATTTTCAGTGTGATATCATTACTTATATTTAAATGAAATTTTTTTTTTCATTTATTTAGAAGTCCAACGAGAAATAAACTATTGTTTGTTTTTTAATATTATTTTGTGTCATTATTTGGTTACTGAGCAGCAATAAACAACGCTTTAAAAAATCAGGAGTTTTCATGTGATTTCCTAAACCAGCCGTGTTTTAAAGTTAATGAATGCACAATAATCGTGATAACTGTGATTATTCCTCAGACTATAATCGCACAACCAAAATCTGTAACCGCTGCATCCCTAGTAGAAAGTTGCCATGACAACTGTTTTAATTACAGTTTATTATTTAGTGCTTACTGTGGTTTTGTCCAGATATCCTACTGCATCTTTAAGTGCTTATCGTAACAGGTTGTTTTCCTGTTTCTAATGGGTCCGTTATTGTCGCTGTTACATCACATTCATAATATCACATCACATGGACCTCATGCTATGTTTCGCTTTGTTAAGCCCATTCCTGAGTGCCGCGTTGTTAGAAGCAAACATGCATGTGGTGTGAATGAGCCCTAAGAGCTCCATCTGTGCTGATGCTGCAGGTGTCTGTGACCAAAACCAAAACACACACACCCGTATCAGCTCTCACGGTGTCTGCTTATGACATGACACACTAAACACCATAAGCTGCTGTTATGGATGCAATTACACAAACTAATCCACGCATTCACTAACAGCAGATTTAGCGATGAGTGATCAGACGTTATACTCGGTAAACTCCACCGACGCCGCTAATGGATCTGCGTTTCACAGGGTCAACAGTGGAAACGCTGCATTAGTGAAACATACATTAGGAGAGCGGCGAGTGTAAACAAGCTCGACCGTTACAACACAGCTCTAATGGAGAGTACAGCTTCAGAAGAGATACAGCTACGGCCAGACGTTAACCAGAAATATTTATGTTATGTTTTAAATTACCCATTAAATTTTATTTTTTAACCCTCATAGGAGTTTAAAATATTAATTATAACGAGAATTATTTATATTATTTATTAAATTGTATTTTATTAACGTCTACTCCAACCTTGTAATGTAAGAGCAGTAATTATGATGATAATTACTTCTATTTTTCATTAAATTGTTTATTAAATTGTATTTTATCAATATTTAGTCCAACCACTACCCTTACAGTAGTGTAAAAACAGTAATGATAACATGACTTACTTAAACTTACCGGCCACTTTATTAGGTACACCTTATTAGCACCAGGTTGGGCGCCCTTTTGCCTTAACATCCTAAATGTGCTCTATTGGATTGAGCTCTGGTGACTGTGGAGGCCATTTGAGTACAGTGAACTCATTGTCATGTTCAGGAAACCAGTCTGAGACGATTCACGCTTTATGGCATGGCTGCGTTATCCTGCTGGAAGTAGCCATCAGAAGATTGGCACACTGTGGTCATAAAGGGATGGACATGGTCATCAACAATACTCAGGTAGGCTGTGGAGTTGACACGATTCATTAGTACCAATTGGTACTAATGAGCCCAAAATGTGGCAAGAAAGTATCCCCCACACCATTACACCACCACCAGCCTGAACCGCTGATACAAGGCAGGATGGATTCATGCTTTCATGTTGTTGATGCCAATTTCTAACCCGACCATCCGAATGTGTCAGCAGAAATGGAGACTCATCAGAGCAGGCAGCGTTTCTCCAATCTTCTATTGTCCAGTCTCTTAAATCCCCTTTCTTCCCCATTCTGATGCTCGGTTTGAACTGCAGCAGATCGACTTGAACATGTCTACATGCCTACATGCATTGAGTTGCTGCCATTTGATTGGCCGATGAGAAATTTGCATTAATGAGCAGACGGGTGTACCAGTGAGTGTATATCATTCATTAAATTACCCATTAAGTTGTATTGTATTAATGTATACCCCTACCCAACCCTAAACCTGCCCTCACAGTAATGTAAGAATATTAATATTTGTTCAACAGTGTCACAGAAATGTGAGTATCTGCAGCTGTATCCCTTCTAGACTTCAGGTGCTCCTGGGACAGAGGGTGGAGACGTATTGCCATGATGATGACACAACGGCTCTGAACACAACAAACAGAGACATTTAGATGCACCGCTGAGTTAATGGAGTTTGGAGCATTTCCAGCACACTGTAGAACATCTGAAATGTTGTTTTGCTCATTTCTTAAAGGCCTCAGCTGTCAGTCCATCATCCCAGTGCTTCAGTATTATTAATATTCTAGTATTATAGTCTTGAGCATCAGTCTGCGCTCCCAAAGAGCGTCTCACACCTCCAAAAGGACCACTTTCCATCTTCTGAGGCGCAACTCATTTATTAGAGAAGAAAAAACACCACAGCGGCTTCCCCAAACGCACTAAGCTACATTTCTCTGACTGATATTTGTGCAGGTTTATCTGGAAGTGATGATTTTATTCTGTTTTGTTTCTCATTTGATTGAAACGCTGCTTTACTCTAGTTTTGCACATAATTCTTTCGTCTTTCATCATAAATCTGATTCGCATCTTTGAACGGACGCAGAGCTATAGCTTGAATGAGCCTGCTGATATTATATTACTGGTTTCCAGGTTTTATTTGTTTGGCGTGTGTGAGTGCATCATGGGCTGAGAGATGTTTATTGTCCTCTGATCCTCCTCAGTGACTAATGCTGGAAGATCCTGATGTCTGCAGAGGAAACAGGCCTCTCATTCCTCAAGAGTCACACACACACACACACACACACACACACACTAGCAAGACCAGCGTCTGCCAGTGTCTAGAGCGCATGGGACGATTCAAATAGGTCTATTATGACCTAAATGTGTGTGTGTGTGTGTGTGTGTGTGTGTGTGTGTCGCTTCATGCCGACTCTAAGGCCCCATTCACACTCACTCCACTGCCATTTACACAGAGTTCAAGAATCACCCCAAAAGTCACCATCACATTGTTCCTGTCGTCTTTCCCCTACGGACTGTTGTTTTGGAGCCTGCTGACTTCTTTCTTCTGAGTTTTATGGACAGAAGTGGACGTTGAGACATTTTCCAAATGTGATCTTTTATGTTTGCATGGAAGAAAGTCAGGCTTGGAGCGACACGAGGGCGAAGAAATGATGACAGAATCATTGTTTTTGCATGGATGACCTCTGATATTCTCTCAAACTCTATTTTGAAACATTTTGAAGACATTAAAGTCCACATGAACCGGAAGCGGCGACGTAGTGGCGCAGTAGGTAGTGCTGTCGCCTCACAGCAAGAAGGTCGCTGGTTCGAGCCTCGGCTCAGTTGGTGTTTCTTTGTGGAGTTTGCATGTTCTCCCTGCGTTCGTGTGGGTTTCCTCCGGGTGCTCCGGTTTCCCCCACAATCCAGAGACATGTAGTACAGGTGAATTGGGTAGGCTAAATTGTCCACAGTGTATGAGTGTGTGTGGATGTTTCCCAGAAATGGGTTGTGGCCGGAAGGGCATCCTCTGTGCATAAAAATGTGCTGGATAAGTTGGCGGTTCATTCCGCTGTGGCGACCCCAGATTAATAAAGGGACTAAGCCGACAAGAAAATGAATGAATGAACCGGAAGCTGCCGTATAGGTTGTTTTCACATGACGTCATTACTGACGCGCAAATCTCAGATGGAAGGCAGGAAGTGATGCTTCTACTTGGGAATCGCTATCAGAACATCAAAATATTTCTGTTTTGAGTTGTTTATAATTGTTTAAATCAGCCAAAACAAGTAATGCCGAACAGCTTTTATAGAACTCCAAAAGTTTTTGCACTAAAAGGGGAGAACGTTCTAGAAACTGGCTGAATAATGGAAGAGTAGGCGGTATGTTTTGAACAGCAGAACAATTAGGGATGCAACCATTCTAGATTTTGGTTGTACGGTTATATAGTCTGAAGAATAATCCTGTTTTCATGGTGATCATCTCTAATGTAAATTTAAGCGTCTAACATATCTTTTGTTTACATTGCACTGAAAGCCAAGCACAACTGTCAGTGCTACGGCGTGAGATGTTTTCTATATGGTGCATCTGAAAGGCGCGAGCGCATCGCTCTGCTTGCGCACACGTATTGTCATATATTCTAATATTGGAAATAACGAAACTGAAGATGCGATATGTGAACGGCCTGCTGCTATAGTTAATCCTGTGTGTGTGTGTGTGTGTTAGCCTTGGTGTAGCTATAAGCTTGGAGCTTTAAACTAGCGCACTGGTGGCATAACTTTGTTTAGTTGCAGCTGTTTCGTTCCCTGCAACAGAAACGCGGCGTTGAGAAGCCTTTAAGCCTCAGTATCCAAATGTTTTGGGCTGCTTGTGCCATTCACTCGCTTAATGTCGGGTGACTCACTGTGTGAATGAATATCTGTCTTCTGTGTGTGTCTCCAGAAACGGGCGAAAGGCCAGTACCTGTTTTTTGAAGTGTGTGAGCACCTGAATCTGGTGGAGAAGGATTACTTCGCACTGAGTTTTAAAGACAACGCTGAGCAGAGGGTGAGTGTCCATCTGTGTCTGATTAATGTGTTCATCATTTTCATCACATTGTAAATCGCTTTCATAGAAACATCTGCTAGATAAAGAAATGTCAAGAACAAAAACTGTCTGTTTTTTTTTTTATTGGAAGAATTTTTGTTTTATTATTTTATGCAAATTTACTACCACAAAAATGGTGGTTATCAAATGAGTTAAAAACACTTGACAAGCAAATACAATGCTGCAAGTTTTACAGTTTAAATTTCAGCTCATTTGAAAGCTTGTGTTAACTTGGAGAGCAGCTCTTTCATTACTTGGGGGAAGAAATGGCTGAGTGCTAACTTTTTAGAGTTTAGTGTTGTTACAAAAATTGTAAAAGTAATGTTAAAGGGTGTAAACAGATTTGCCATACCAAGCAACATGTGTACAGTGCAGTGCAAAAATACTTAATGATATAAGCTATAATGTCACATAAGGTCATAAAACATATCGTTTATTTACAGAAAATACATTTGAAATTGGATTACAAATTTCATACCTGAACATTTTAAAATAAGTTTAAAACATATTCAACAAAAGTATTTAATGTATAATATAATATAAAATAATAGTCTTAAAAAATTAATATACTGTATATAAATACAAATCCCAAAATTTATATAATCATTCAAAACATGTTCAGCAAAATGATTTGAAGTTAATAAATGCATAATATAACCTAACTTACTGTAACGTAACTTAAGATAGCGTGACACAACATAACCAAACTTAAACAACCTTAATGTAATGTAGCGTAACTTTACGCAACACAACTTAACTTAGCTCAACTTAACTTAGCGCAGCTTAACCTAATGCAAATTAACGCAACTTAACTTGTTGCAACTTAACCTAATGCAACTGAACTTAACGCAACTTAGCACAACTTAACTTAGGGTAACATAACGCAACTTAACTTAGCTTAACTTAACGCAGCTTAACTTAGTGCAACTTAACGCAACTTAACTTGTCGCAACTTAACCTAATGCAACTGAACTTAACGCAACTTAGCGCAACTTAACTTAGGGTAACGCAACTTAGCGCAACTTAACTTAGGGTAACATAACTTAACGCAACTTAGCGCAACTTAACTTAGGGTAACATAACGCAACTTAACTTAGCTTAACTTAACACAGCTTAACTTAGTGCAACTTAACTTAGCGCAACTTAACTTAGGGTAACGCAACTTAGTGCAACTTAACTTAGGGTAACATAACTTAACGCAACTTAGCGCAACTTAACTTAGGGTAACATAACGCAACTTAACTTAGCTTAACTTAACACAGCTTAACTTAGTGCAACTTAACTTAGCGCAACTTAACTTAGCGCAACTTAACCTAACGCATCTTAACCTAACGCATCTTAACTTAATGCAACTCAACTTAGCGCAACTTAACCAAACGCAACTTAACCAAACGCAACTTAACTTAGCGCAACTTAACCAAACGCAACTTAACCAAACGCAACTTAACTTAGCGCAACTTAACCTAACGCATCTTAACTTAATGCAACTTAACTTAGCGCAACTTAACCAAACGCAACTTAACCAAACGCAACTTAACCTAATGCAACTTAACTTAATGCAACTCAACTTAGCGCAACTTAACCAAATGTAACGTAACTTAGCACAACTTAACCTAACGCAACTTAACTTAAATGCAATTTAACGTAATGCAACTTAATGCATTTTAATGCAACTTAACACAACGCAAATTAATGAAACTTTATATTTAAATATATATATTTAAATATAAATATACAAAATATG